TCAAGCTGCTAATAAAAATAAGCAGCCTAAATCGCGGGGAATTGGTCTGGATGCTCAAACTTATGATATTCTAGAGGCCACTGATAAAGCCTTAAATGCTTCCAACGTAACTTTTGCTAAAGAATTGCTGGTTATGCAGGGCACAGGGTTCCCCCATCCCCCTTGCCATCCCCAGCAGTGTTTCTCTGGCTACACTGGAGAAACAAGATTACTTAAATTGTAGTGCTAGTCCCCGCTTTAGAGTACAACCAGTAGGCTTCAAGGACTCTCTGTCTCCAAGGAGGTTTTCATAACGATACCTCCAACATTGACGTGGAGTTCGTTACATTTACTAATTGTAGTTCCATAGTTAACCAGACTACCTCCTTTAACCTGCCAAAGGACAAGTATTTATTTGTGGAGGAAATGTGGCCTCTACTTTTCTCCCAGCTAACTGGACAGGGATATGTGTAACAGCTGTCCTGTTGCCTGATATAGAGATCCTACCCGGGGACAAGTCTGTCCCCATTCCTAGTTTAGATTATATCACAGGCCACTCAAAGAGGGCAATTCAATTTATTCCTTATTGGTAGGCCTAGAGATATCAGGAGCCTTAGGTATGGGGGCAGCAGGAGTAGAGGTTTCTGTTCAACCTTCCAACCAGATTGTTTGTGATGTGCAGGCATTATCTAATACCATTCAGGTCATTCAAGACCAAATAGACTTGTTGGCTGAAGTAGTTCTCCAAAACAGAAGGGGACTAGATCTCCTAACAGCAGAACAAGTAGGGATCTGTGTGGCATTTTAATTGACTCCTTAGCTGAAATAGCTCTCCAAAATAGCAGAGGGCTAGACCTCCTGTTAGCCAAAAAAGGAGGACTGTGCTTAGCTTTAGGAAAGCAGTGCTGCCTGTATGCTAATAAATCTGGGTTGGTAAAACAAAATTTAGCCGAACTCCAAAAAAGACTAAGGTGAGAAACCCTGGGATGGGCAGAACAAATGTTCTCCTTCCCATCATGGATGACAAACATAATAGCGACCATAGCCGGTCCTCTTGTTATGATTCTAGTATTAGTTACTTTAGGTCCCTGCATAGTAAATAGGCTAACTGCATATATCAGGCATCAGATGCAGAGCATAAAATTAATGATGGTTAAACAACAAGCATATGAACTTGTCCCCCGAGATCTTTAGGTCAAAGATTTGACCTCAGTCACAACATCAGAGGGGAATGTAATAACCTAAGGCCCCCTAACTATCGTGCCGTGAAGCCTGTTTCTGTATAAGCCTGCCTGCTGCTTTCCCTCCTCTTCCCCCTTCAAATCTAACTAGGTTAAGTTTTAACTTCCTAAAAGGCCATAAAACAAAGGCCTGAGGTAATAGCTCCTGACAACTCCCTTCTCTAACTGGTAGCCTTTCATAAGTTGTGTTAATTGCATTAGGTTATAATAGCTTCGTTTGTATCATAGCAGTACCTGTGTGTTCCTTTCCCTCTGAGCAAAGGATTGATATGTTAATCAATGCTCTCCTCTGTAAAGAATTGTAAAATCTTGATATGTTAACCATTGTTGCCCTCTACAAATAACAGTTGTGGTGCTAAAGTAAGGTAACTAAGGTTGTTAATTGCTGCTAGACTTCTCTATTCTTTGCTGAGAAAAACAAGATTTCTTCTTATCTAAACTTGCTAGACTTGCTTGTTAGCACAACCCTTACCTGATCTGGCCCTTCCCAAGACATGTAATCGCCATTTCCATAGTGTGTCACACCCCCGTCCCCCTCCTTACGTTGTGTGACCAGCAGCTGTTTGTGGATTTACAAGATAAAAACCCTGACTTTTAGCCTTGAGGTGCGCAGTCTTTGGGTTGACCCTAGAGAGACTGTGTCACCAGGCCTGGAAGTAAAGCATTTGCTTCCCAAATTTTAATTTCTTGCTTCCTTGAATTTCATACTGGGGTCCGTGTTATCACACTGTAATGTCTCCAATGTTTTGGTTTTGTTGGTTTCATTCTTTACTGTTTTGTTCAATTTTATTATAACATGATATAGGCAATTCTATTTGAAATAGCGGGAGGCATTATGGTTACCATTGTTGATCACCTTGTATTCTGTTTTTACATTATCTGTTATGTCCACCCTTTTGATTTGACTGACTCTGTTCTGTTATGTCACATTTGGTTTTACTCCCTTTCAAAAAAGTAATAAGAACTGTGAGAGTAGTAAAACCCAAAATGTGTAATAGTCATTGTATAAAAGAGAGGAAAAGAAAGTGCTCTAAATGATATAACTGCATGTATATTTAACTGTATAAGATAGTCAATGATATTACTGAGTTTTGTTGGATCATTGAACAGAACTGTTTGCAGTCCCAGTCCCACAGTCTGAATGTCCACTTTATAAGCTTTAATTTTGTAACTTGAACAAATATTTCTAAGATGACAATATGTAATCCATTAACTAGTTTTTTCCTAGTTTATTTTTTTTTCTGAAATTCTGTATAACTTGTACCCTTTTCCTGCTTTTTTTTTCTTTTTCTCCTTAAATAAAAATTTTTTTTAAAAAGGAGAAAATGTGATTTAAGTTTTTATTTTATTTTATGGTGCTAGGGATTGAACCTAGGCTTCCTGCATGCCAGATAAGCACCTCTGACCATGCTTCCTGCATGCCAGACTAGCCCCAACATTTAGCTTTTCAGTCAGTGAAGTTCACTTGCATTCTGGATTTGCCCCCTGATCCTTTTAGTTTAAACAGCAGTTCAAAACTTAAAAGAGCATTGATTTCTAACAAGAGAACATGTAAGTTGGGATCCATAGACCTAGAAATCTTCCATAGACATCCCCCACCCCCGCAAAGTACTCATTTGGACTAAAGTAATTCCCTGAAACCTTTCTTAGCTAGTTCCCAGACTTCCGGGCCAGGGACAATGGAGGAAAGCTGGAGAAGCTTTGCACGTATTGGAATGCTGCTGTGGGTAAGTGGATCAATAGCCCTGCTGTGCTTCTGTGATCCCAGCACACAGGAATTCTGCCCTTTTGAACTGTGCAGGGTCTTAGCTGGGCAGGACCAGCTACCTTGGCTGTTTTCTCTGGGTGGGACTTGGGAATTACATCTCAGTACCTAGAGTAGTGAGAGATACTTCAAAGCCTTTCCCCCCAGGGCTGAGATATTCTTAGAACTGCAGAGTAAAACAGTTTCACTGCTTTGAATGAAGTATTTCATTTTCAGATGTAATAAGGCATGGAAATTTCACTTGGATGTAAGCACACTATTCTTTTCTTTCTTTCTTTTTTTTTTTTTTTTTTTTTTTTATCAGGGATTGAACTCATGACTTTGTGCTTGCCAGGCAGGCACTTATGCCACTGAGCTAAATCCCTGATCCAAGCACACTAATTTTGAAGCAAGAGCTTTGGAAAAATCTCCGTGTTGGAATACAAAAGTTATAGATACTATGTGCTTAGAATAGCTTTTAAGGTCTCTCTCTAGAAAAGTCAATTGTTCAAAGAAATTTTGTGGCTCAATATTGGAGAAAAATAGGCGATGCTAGAAAGATGTCATAAAGAATGTGTATTTTTTTTTTTAATTTTGTAATGCTGGGGATGGGACCCAGAACCTCAAGCATAGTAACAGGCATATGCTTTGCTGCTGAGCTACACTGCTGCCCATGGGGAATTATTTAAAACTAGCTTTCTTCACTGGCATTACTGATGCATAACTCACTTAATGTTACCCTCATTCATTGTGTTGCTTAGAACTTACTTGAAAAAAACAGTATGTGGGACAATAATCCCATGATAGCATTAGATTTTAACTTTACCTTTTAAAATGGTGAGACTTGCCTGGTACTTTGTTCTTATAAATGCAACTGTAAATGAGAAAATTAATGAGTGGGGATTTTAGAGACAGTGCATTGTAATTTCCCTTCCTTTTCCTATGTTTACATCCAGGCTGATAAAACTCACCTGCATATAGTGTGTTCTCAGGAACTTGGGTCAAGGACAAATATGCACAGCCCCCAGGAAATGGGACATTTTCTAACATTTATTTTTTATTGGACAAACAGTGCTCAAGCTGTATATCTGGTACCATAATCAGCGCATGTATACATGTGTGCAAGACTGTGTATATCAACAGGAAAATAAGTTACAAGCTTCTTCCTCACCCTGGCTAACCACTTTAGACACCTGGAAACTTCTTTTTAAAGAGTTGTATCTTGTCGGTGTCGATCCCGGCCGGCAGGAAAAAACACACGACACGAGTAGTTGGCGGATAGCCTCTGATTTATTTTCTCTCTTTGTACGCCCTGTTCCGGGATCTCGGATCCCGCCTGAGGGAAGCCTCCTCTGGTCTGTTCTCTACGGCTCCTTGTGTGCTTCTCTCAGCAGTCCCTCTTTTTGGTGTGTGTTCTCTCCCCAGGGGTGGTGTCAGCATATATATGGACACATCGACCAATCACATCAAAGTAGGCAAGACGAGCTGATTGGCCAGCGTCAGCTGTTGCTGGGCAGACTAGCTTACAGGGCGTGTTGTTTACTAGCTAGGGAGCAGGAAATGGGCGCCATCTTGGCATACTCGATGGGAGGGGTAATCTAGCTCAGGCTTCACTCCTCACCACAGGCCTCATATCACTCGGTCGACGGGAGGGGCAATCTAGCTCAGGCTTCACTCCTCACCACAGGCCTCATATCACTCGGTCGAGCTCCCAACATCTCCCCCTTTTTTATTTATTAAGATAGGGTGGTCTGTGGGTCCATGTGAGGTGTCTGGGAGTGGGCCTATTTCGTAGGCCGAGGCATGAGAGAATGTAGAGGTCTATACCCTGCTGTGCATCACCTTGTCTCGTACATATCCTTGCGCCAGGACCATGCTCAAGGTGAGTGGTTCATTTTTTCGCAGGGCCAGGCTTTTGTGAACCGAACCTGGATGCATATAGACATTTATTTCTGCCTTCCCCTCAACCCTCGAGGCGGATGGCACTGTAGTACCCTTGGTCTCGCATCTCAATGTCATAACTCTCACTCCCTAGAGGACCCTCGGAGTAGAGCCTGTCTTAGGTTGATCAGGAGAACTTCTCCCGTCTTACCCGTTGTTGGCTTGCCCACTCAACTCTTAAAGCTTATATCTTGGGGGAGACACGGAGGGGTCAGCCGAGTGACATTTGAGGAACCGCGTAATCACTAATTACCAACCATAATCCCCGTTTACTACAATCACTAATTACTATTTTCTAATTATCAATGGGAACACGCCTTAAGCGTGGGGTCCTTCTAGTCTAAGTTCGCAGCCGCGACGGGGAAGGAGACGTACGTAATAATACTAGAACATCCGTAAGAATAATGGCGAGGGCAGCCACGTACTGGTTAAAGGAGCCGTGCCTTTCTAGCCTGAGCCCAGAAAACGCTAGGTGTGGAATCCCCTTGACTCTGGGCCAGCAACATCATCAATGTCATATGTGTCTTTTGGGTCGCCCTTATCGACCGCAGGCACCTAAGAGTCACGAGAGCGACAATCACAAGAGCAAGAATGATCCCATACGCAAGAAGTGACGAAGGTTTGAAGAAGGAGCCTATCTGGCTTAGGACATCATCAAAAAAGGAGGCTGTAAGTATAGGCACCTCTATCTGATCTAGCTGCCGGATAGTCATATCCAGGCGCACGCTAGCGTTCCAAAAGGAAGAATTATAGGTGGTGAGAACATAATCCTGAAATTGCCTGTAAGCCGAACGGTTGACCTGGATGGGGGTAACGCACAACTGGGTGAATGCCCATCTGGCGTCACATAAATTGTTAGCCACCTCCCAGAGTCCCTGGACTTCCTGAGCGATTAGGTCGATCTGCTGCTGTAACGCCATTATGGCGTTGTGCTGGAGGAGGTTGACTTTTTGTTGCTCCCTCAGCGCCAGGGAGGTGGTGTCCGTAAGATTGGTAAAGGCCTGAGCCGTCAGCGTAGACTGGGTCAGAGCAACGGCAGCCGTCACAGCCGTCGCAGTCAGAGTCACGAACAGTGCTGTCAGGGCCGCTGTGATCTCAAAATCTCTCTTACGTCTGAGCATGGGTAGTTGGTCCTGCTGATAGACGGGATGAACCCAAACAGATTCGTTAAAGGGAACCCACATCAGTGGGGGTCGAAGAGCCAACATAGCATACGGGAAAGACCCATTCCAGCAGTTCCCTGTAAAGCATGGTTGGTTACTGCACTTAAAGGAGATGTCAGCAGAGAATACCCATAAGTAGGGCGGTTTTACGCATGCAGCCTCAGAATTAAGGGTGACATTGGTGGTTCCATTAGAGGCAGAAGCGTTAATAGCGAGCATGGGTCTTAAGTCCATGCAGGCTCCGGTGGAGAGGCACAACCAATTTTTATTAAGGGGGAAGGGGAAGCTTATTGCCCACTTGTTGTTCACTCTCAGGTAGGACTCCCACCAGGTCAACGCGAATATGTTGTTACTACCGGATGGAGGAGAGAACCGGGACCACCAAGACATGTTTAGATGAGTCACTCCCACGCCGTCGACAGTACAGGGCTGCCATGAAAGTTGTGACAGGTCCACCATCTGTCTTTTTCGGCTTGGGGACACACGGTATGGGCATGTGGGGAAATCGGGACGGGTGTGCATGGCTGCTCGGGGTTTGCAGGTTGAGTTAAAAGTGATGACTCCGCCGCTAAGTGTGCCAGCTTTAAAACATCCAGGCGAATGCAGGGATGGGACAGACAACCTCACCGTCAGGGAGGTATTGTACCATTTTACAAGGAGGGGCAGGAAGCTAACGCAGGATCCCCGGTGACACGAGGGGTTACTATTAGTGGAAAAAATGACCACGTCATTGGTGATGGGAAGGTCAAAACGTATGGGTCTGATGGTTAACGGTATATCTGGTATGCAAGGCAATCTGGCGGAGCAGTTTTTTGCATACAACTTTGGGAGAGAGGGGGCTGTGGTGGAGATAGCGGCTAGCGCTGGCGGATGATGTATTGCTGCCCACACCAAGTCTGCTCCTATTTTAGTAGTGGTGGTGAGCATCAAAACCAGAAGGAAGGGGGCTGCCGGAAGGCGGCGTGGCCTAGCCACTCTGGCTGCACCGTACCCTAAAAGAGAGCCAATTACTATCGAGAGCATAATCATTACTGTGTCCCATAAGTCATACGGTATTCCTCGGTCGAGCAGCAATATCCTGGTCGGACCGATCTTGATTAGGCTGTCCGCTGCCGTTGAGTTTTGGAGTGTCTCCTGCATTATGTTTCGTTGGATTCGCCACACGCGTCAGCCGTTCTGGGACCCACAATGGTTCTCGTCCTGGTTCCTGCGGGAAAACACAAACCGCACCTCGGTTCCAGCTAACTACTGGATCCGGGCCCATCCATTGTCCCGTCAGGACATCTTTCCATTTCACCCATCCCCTATTGCCAGGAGATGGATTACAATGTTCCATGGCCGGGGAGTGATTGTTGTTATTCAGGTTCAGAAAATTGTATGTGAACAGTGCCATGGAGAGCCGTGCCTTTGGGGGCAGGCCCTGACTTATTCCCCCTTTTTGTTTTTGTAGAATATCTTTAAGGCTCCTATGAGCCCTTTTAATAATTTCTTGACCTTGGGGATTGTATGGGATGCCATGTTTTAACTGTACCCCCATTTTTTCACAGAACTCATTAAAGGCTCTGCTTGTATAAGCTGGTCTATTATCAGTTTTTAATATTTTTGGTTTGTCCCATGCGGCCCAAGCTGTCAGGCAATGATTGATTACATGAGACACCTTTTCGCCAGTTTTAGCAGTCGCAAATATAATATGAGAGCAGGTGTCCGTAGAGACATGAACATATTTAAGAGATCCGAATTCTATCATATGTGTGACATCCATTTGCCAAGTGTCGCCAGGAATCAATCCCCTGGGGTTAACTCCCGTTGATACGACGGGTGTGTATGTGGCGCAAGAGCCGCATAACCGTACGATGTCCCGCGCGTCAGCCCTGGAAATGTGGTACTGGTTGGCTAACGTCCTGGCGTTGACATGAAATCTGTCATGAAACAGACGGGCTTGTTCTATTGAAGATAACATATTGAGTATCTACAACGGGCGAGTGGCCACGTCAGCTGCCGCATTGCCCTGTACCATGGGCCCTGGCAGGCGCGTATGTGCTCTTATGTGAGTGATGTATATTTTGTTGTGTCTATTTATCAGCAGAGTCTGGATAGACAAAAACAAATTAGTCACTTTGGAGGTTGGCTTAATCGGGCCCGCAGTCTCAAGGACCTGCATGGCATTAACAACGTATTTTGAATCAGAAACAATATTAAGGGCCCCTGGGAACTTCTCGAGGACGGTTTGTACAATTTGTAACTCTACCACCTGTGGTTGATCTGGTTTAAATTGTATGCTGATCGGAGGCATACCTGAGACCACATAAGCCCCTATCCCGGTTTTTGACCCGTCTGTATAGATCGTTGTTGCAGGAGTAAGTGGTGTGGACGCGGTGATTTTTGGAAATATCACCGGATGTTGAGTAACAAACTGTAGTATGGGGTCCCTGGGGAACTGGTTGTCTATCTCCCCAAGAAAAACACATCTCAGGATGGCCCACGTATCTATACAAGCAGTCAGGATTTTTATTTGAGAAGCGGTATAAGGTACCCGAATAGCATGGGGTGCAGAGCCAAAATGTTGGATAGCCCTGCCATGTGCCTCCAAGGCCAGGGAAGCGACCGTTTTCGGATAATGTTTGATAATCTTGGCAGGTGAGACCTTAGGGTGCACCCACAAAAGTGGTCCCTTTTGCCAAATCACTGCCGTAGGTTGAGAAACGGTCTGCAACAAGCAGACCTCAAAAGGCTGTTCTGAGTCAATTTTCTGCAATGCAGCTGTACTTAGGGCTTCCTCTATCTTTTTTAGAGCAACTCTGGCTTCCGGGGTGAACTCCCTGGGGGAGGCAATATCCGGGTCTCCTTTCAGGAGGTCGAACAGGGGCTTTAAGTCCGAGTTAGGGATGTGTAAATAAGGTCTGATCCAGTTTATATCTCCCAGTAGCTTTTGCATGTCATTCAAGGTCCTTAGGCTATCTGTTCTGATGGTTACCTTTTGTGGAGAAATCGATGTGGGGGAGACTTTGGTGCCCAGGTAGGTCACTATGTCTCCTCCCTGAATCTTGTCAGGGGCAATATGTAAATTTGCCTTTCTCAGGGCCCTGACCAATTGGCCAAGCATATCCTCCAACTCAGTCACATCTTTTGCACTGATTAGCAAATCATCCATATAATGAATACATCTAATTCTGGGGAAGGCTTCACGCAAGGGGGCCAGTAGAAAATCAAGATACATCTGACACATGGTGGGACTGTTGGCCATACCCTGGGGTAATGTAACCCACTCGTACCTCTGATCAGGACTCTCTTGGTTAATGGTGGGTAGGGTAAAGGCGAATCTGTGGGTGTCCTCTGGATGCAGGGGGATTGAGAAAAAACAGTCTCTAAGATCTATGGCATAAACTGGCCAGGACCGAGGGATGGCTGAGAGGGCTGGTAGTCCCCTCTGGATCGCCCCCAGGGGCTGCATCTGTGAGTTGACAGCCCTCAGATCATGGAGCAGCCTCCACTTGCCTGATTTCTTCCTGATAACAAAGACAGGGGTATTCCAAGGGGAGGTTGACGGCTTTACGTGTCCCGCCTGAAACTGGGTTTTGACTATCTCAGTTAATGCTAAAAGCTTCTCCTTGGGTAAGGGCCACTGAGGCACCCAAACTGGATTTTGAGATTTCCAGGTGATCTTAATTGGAGCGGGCAGGAGAAGTTTCTCAGTGACCCCTAGGAAAAACCCAACCCGTGTCTACCTTCCCTTTTTTCTACAGGTACGGGGGATGTCCGGCCCTGCAGGGCTGCGCCCAGGCCCTTGCCGGGGACATATCCCTGATTTTTGAGTATCCCTTTGGCTTGGGGAGAGCAGGTGGATGTAAGAGTGACATCCATCTGGGTGAGAACGTCTCTTCCCCACAAGGATACTGGCAGCTGCAAGACAAAAGGTTGAAAATGTCCTCGGTGACCTTCCTCATCACCCCAAGGCAGGGTCACGGCACTAACCTGGGGGGCAGCCACTATCCCCAATCCTTGGAGTGTGTTGTCAGCTGTGTTGGTAGGCCAACTAGGGGGCCAGTCTTTTTTGGAGACGATGGAACGGTCTGCCCCTGTATCTAGGAGTCCTGTTATCTTTTTTCCGTTAATCCTGAGCGATAGCATGGGCCTTTTATCAAGAGTCATATGAAGTCCTTTAAAAATTTTCTTAGAGGAGCCAAGTCCCTGACCCCCTCTAACCCGTTGACCGGACCGGGGTCTCTCATGGAGACTGGGGAACAGTAAAAGTTGTGCTATCTTATCCCCTTCATCAATTACTATGGTCCCTATATGAGATTGTACCATGATTTTGATGTTTCCTAAATAATCTGGGTCTACAACTCCAGGGATCACGGTAAGGCCCCGGAGGGCTGTGGAGGACTGTCCAATCACTAAACCAACTAGCTTGTTGGGTAGTGGTCCTTTGGAGGTGGTTTCAACCACCTGAACGCCCATATCGGGTGTTAATAGGAGTCTGGAGGCGACACAGAGGTCCACGCCTGCTGGCCCGGGGGTGGCCCCTGTGGGGGGGTGCCATCTTGTGTTGTCCTGTCTAGGGAGTGGGGGCCCGTCCGTAAGGAGGGCCCCCTCTGGCCGTTTTTTGGCTCCGTAGTCTCCCTGCCACTAATACGGTTCCCCTGGGCATCAAAAATAGATCTGTAATCTTTTGCTTTGTGAGAACCTTTACCGCACCTTTCGCAGGTTCCCGTTTGTCTGTCTGATTCCTGTCTCTTGGATATAAACTCCCCCTGTCCGGTCTTGGGGCAGTTTTTCCTTATATGGCTGGGATCCCCACACTGGAAACATCCCCTGGGCTTACCAGGGTGATTGGTCTTCTGAGGCCCTGTCTGTTGTAAGGCGGCGGCTAAAAGGGCAGCCACGCCTGAGTTGGATAATGGCCCCCCTATTTCTCTACAAATTTTAATCCACGCCTCTATGTTTTTACCTTTATGGGGTGCTATGGCTGCCCTGCAGTCCTTGGTGCACTGTTTGAAGATTAACTGTTTAATAAGAGGAGCAGCAGCACTCGGATCTGAAAAGAGTCTGTCAGCTGCCTCCTGCATTCTGGCCACAAAATCCACAAAAGGTTCTGTGTTGCCCTGAACAATTTTAGAGAGGCATTGTGAGGCCACCCCTGTGTTGTTTACCTGCTTTCAGGCGCGGATGCCTATGTTATGTATCTGTTCATACACATTTGGAGGGAATCTAGTTTGATCTTGAGCGTACTGACCCTTACCCATAAGCATATCCTCATTTTGCCCCCTATGGCCCCTAGCCGCATTTTTTTCAGCCTGTTTGGCGGCAAACTCAGTATACCAGGCGCGCCAATCCAGAAAAGCCCCGGGGGCCAGGCAGGCTTTAGCCAGTTGGGTCCAATCACTGGGCGTCAGAAAGCCACCGGCAGACAAATTCTCCAACATAGTTATAGTGTAAGGAGCAGTAGGGCCAAATGTGGCAACCGCATTTTTAAGCTCCTTAATTTGCTTGATCTCCAGTGGTTCCCAGTAATTGGGTCCTTGGCCTTGCGCTAGGAGCACCGGATAAAGCCCACATTGTTCATACTCATTCGCCCCTTGAGGAATCTGTTCCATTCTAAATGTCCATCTACGAAAATACCTTCCCTGGGACCTTGGCATTTTTTCACAGGGTGGTGCCTCCCCATGAGATGTCTGTCCCTCCCTATCACAAAATTGTATCTCTTTGTAACATGGCCGACCAGTCTTTGGGGCACAAGATGGCGGGTCGCCAGGCAGACAAGATGGTGGCCCTACATGTGACAACGGTCCAGGCCACTCCCTCCATGGGGGGGGTGACGGAGGATGGCCCCAGGCCGCCATCTCACCACAGGAACCGGTGTTTGGGACCTCCCAGGGTGGCGCGGAAGGCTCTACGGCTTTCCGTTGGGGAGTGCTCAGGAGTTTTTTTCCCTTCTCTAGGTCTGTCTGCATCTTGACTAGGTCTCTACGTAAAGCTGCAAAGGGATTAGGGGGGTCACTTGCCTCATTGTCCTCGCCTTCCGAGGTATCTGAGCCCGAGGAATCCGAGGCAGGGGGTACCTCTCTCTTGTCTTGCTCTCGCGAGCGCCTCCGCACGCTCCCTGCGACGGACCCCTCTCGGGAGGACTCCGAACGGGCCCCTTCAAAAGCTCGGCGGGCCTGAGAGAGCCCATCTGTGCTATCCTTAGCCCCATTCCTCTCCCCTTTGAGGCATGAATGAATCATCTCCCAGAGCGGCCGAACCGAAAGTGGGAGTCGGCGCTCCTCTTCTGCTCTTTTTAAATCCTTACCTAATTTCTCCCAGCAAGGTAGGGACAAGTGCCCCGTCGGCAGGAACCAGGGTGCCGCCTCATCTACTTGTTGGAGAAACTCCGTAAGTGTCTTGGAGCTCATTGATATATCTGAAATCTTGAGCAGGTCTTTCACCGCTCTTACCAGTGACTTGGAACTCTTAGTGGGTAAGTTGCCCATGCCTGTTACTGAGGAGTCCGTTCTCACCGTGTGAGGCTAACCTGCCACATATACGTGAGCTTGAGGGGAGTCTAAAAAGCCCTGTAGGTGCGCGCCACCCAGAGCCCAGGTTTATCCCCTACTCACCTGTCCTGCAGAGCAATACTGGAGCGTCGTCCGCCTCGCCTCGGGGGTGATCAGTTCCCCGTACGGGCCACCAAATGTCGGTGTCGATCCCGGCCGGCAGGAAAAAACACACGACACGAGTAGTTGGCGGATAGCCTCTGATTTATTTTCTCTCTTTGTACGCCCTGTTCCGGGATCTCGGATCCCGCCTGAGGGAAGCCTCCTCTGGTCTGTTCTCTACGGCTCCTTGTGTGCTTCTCTCAGCAGTCCCTCTTTTTGGTGTGTGTTCTCTCCCCAGGGGTGGTGTCAGCATATATATGGACACATCGACCAATCACATCAAAGTAGGCAAGACGAGCTGATTGGCCAGCGTCAGCTGTTGCTGGGCAGACTAGCTTACAGGGCGTGTTGTTTACTAGCTAGGGAGCAGGAAATGGGCGCCATCTTGGCATACTCGATGGGAGGGGTAATCTAGCTCAGGCTTCACTCCTCACCACAGGCCTCATATCACTCGGTCGACGGGAGGGGCAATCTAGCTCAGGCTTCACTCCTCACCACAGGCCTCATATCACTCGGTCGAGCTCCCAACAGTATCTGAACCTCTGGGTTTTTAGCTCTTCAAGTGATGCTCCCTGCAACTCAGGCTGCTTTGATTTTGAGCTCTGGCAGATGCATTTGCCCCTACCTGGAGTGGGTGTCTGTTTTCCATGGTAGCAAATTTCAGTTTGACAGTTTGGGCCAGGCCTAGTAGTGTGACCTGGGGCTCCTCAGGTTATTGTCCATATCACATTGCTCAGCATCTGCTAATACTCAGATCATGGCATGGGTACTGCTGGCTGCTTTGAGCTTGATTTTAGGGAGAATCGAGACCAAAAAGGCAGAGTAGAAAAATTTTTAAAAACTTAAATTTTGACCCCGGAGAAACCATGTATAAAGTGGAGGTCAGGGCAGGTGTGGCTGCTAAGATTAGCACCACTAAAAAGAAAGCAAGTACTTTCTACAGGGACAAGAAGAAAATGACTACAGAGCTTTCCAGGAATTAGTGAGGCCCCACCCCTCACAGCCTCCTAGGTGTAAAGACATAAATCTTGCTTTTGAGAAGAGAGTCCTTGGGTTGCCTGCTTGAGGATGGTCTCCTGGAAAGATGGTTATCCAGGATTCATTTCACAATGCCCAGAACTTCAAGCACTTGTAGGCTGCTACAGTAATGGTCCAAATGGGCAGCCTACTTATTCAAAGAGCACCTGACCTTGGCATCACATCTACATGATGCTGGTTTTACCCAGGTGCAGAATGTAAGAGTTGTGGGGTCATAAAGGCTACCACCGCAATTTCAAAGGAAGGCCTGAGAGGCCAGGCAGTGTTGCCCTGAGATGACAGTACATGAAGCTGTGAGAATAGTGCCAAAGGTGCAGTGGAGACGTCAGGAACCCAGAGATGCCAGGAAGGTGAAACATCTTCTGAAGAAATTGCAGCTCAAAAGTGGAGTCAGCCTGAGAAGGAGGCCAAGTGGACTTCCACCAGCAAGGCCAGCTGTGTGGGCCTACCCAGACTTTGGAACTCACGTCTCACCACTGTGTGCTCTGGATGCTAAATACACTGATACAAGACTTAATGTTTGCCTCGCTGGGCTTTGATCTTGGCTTTTTCTGATTCTTTCCCACCTCTCTCCTTCCCTTTTGGAATGGGAATGCTTACCTTATACCATTGTACTTTGAGAAAGTATAATTTGTTTTTCATTTTTAAAGAGGTTCACAGCTGCCTTGAGTATCAGAAGAGACTTGGTCTTTTGAAAAACGCTGGAAGCATTTCGATTTTGGGGAAAGAATTACTATACTGCATTTCAGGTTGTACATGAAATAGTTGTATTATGGTAGGCAGATTATGAACTTGCTATCTTTATTTGGGGATTATGAGGAGAAGTGGATATGAAGTTGACAAGGGGTGGGGTGTGACCATTAGTCCTGAGAGGTCATCTTTTTTGGATTAAAAAGCACATGGCAGATTAATGAAGCATGCTTCTGGGTGGGTCATGCAGGTGTGGTCTTGGGTACTGTGCATGGTACCTCACCATTCCTCTCTTGTATTGTTGTACACTAGAAAAAAGGGCTTCGTTATGTTTGTATTACACCAAAATACCTGTAACGCGACCCTAACTGTTCTGTATACGTTTTTCTCCCTTCTCCCTCTGGGTGACCTAATTAATATGTTAACCATTGCTGCCCTCTACAAGTAACAGATATGGTGCTAAAATAAGGTAACAAAAGGTTGTTAATTACTGCTAGACTCTTCTGTTCTCTGCTGAGGAAAACAAAAGTCTTCCTCATTAACAGATTTCCTGATCCACGTTCACAGCCCCCTTACTTTGTAAATTGTGATGTATGCTTAAAGGTGGAAAATATAGAGGAGCAACACACACAGCTTTTGCAATCTCCAACTACACTGTGTCGCTGGGCCCAGAGTAAAATAAATCAGCGCTGCTTTTTAAAATGTTTTTGCTTCATTTTTTGAACTTGAGTTTTGGGACTGGTTTGTGGATTACAAGAGTATAATCCCTTGCTCTGATTCCTGCCACCATGAACTAAACAGTTTTGCTCTGCCTTGAAGTTCTTGCCTTTGAGGCTGCAGATCATGGACTGAACTGACTGAAACATTTAGCTTTAAATTAAACGTCTTCTCCCCTAAGTAGTGAGCGTGAGGTATTGTGTCCAGGAATGGGAATATGGAGTAATTCAGAAAGGAGTCAGCAGCATCCACTGCTTGCCAGAAGCGGGAGTCTTGGGTCTTGCCACCCTGAACCTTGGCAGTAGTGGGACTTGAAGAGCCACCTTTCCTTTTATAGTTAGCCAGCGGCTTCTGCTTATAGGCTAAAGTTAGAAATGTAGGCTTTACAGACTTCCTTTTGCATCTCTCTATTTGTGTGATGTGTGTGTGTGTGCATGTGCACGTGCACCCATGTGCACACGCTTTTTTAGTGGTATTGGAAACTGAGGCTCAGAGACTCTTCAGTCTATGGTACTTACTTGGTTTATTGTAGCTGTAAAATCTGGAGTGTGGCTGTGCCTCTTGGGGTGGTGCTGTGAAAGACTCTTGACTCCCAAGTTGCCCGTCTTTGCTTTAGCTCCTTCCATGCTGACAGAGGCCAGTGAAAGGAGGTGTTAATGTGTGGCTACCAATAGGTGTCAGTGCATATTTACTTTTTTAAAAACACATATGCACAATTACTTAGGATGCAAAATACATAAAAGCATATTCATGTGTGTGTATATATCATTTTTTTTTTTTGAAGACCGAGCTTTGTCATGTTGCGTAGGCTGGTTAATTGCCTAGGTTCAAATGATCTTCCTGCCTCAGACTCCTAGATGGCAGGACCACAGGCATATGTTTCTGCTGTTAGGTGTTTCTTTAAAAATTTTTTGTGTAACTGTGGTACATTTGTTTATCGCTTTCATCTATTGCCCATCCACTTATCCATCCACATGTACTGTTATACAAATGGCAAAAGAAAGGTTATTTCTGTCATAAGTAGGCAAATAGAAATCTTCAGCGAAGTGTGGAACAAAAATAATATATGTGGTGGATTGATAACTGGTGGTCCACTTGTAATACCAGCTGAACTGAATCAGCGGGATGCTGGATGTGAATGGCCCACCTGAAGTGTGTTGCCAAGATAGAAGGGAGACCTGGAGAGGAAGAAGTAGTGTTGTTGTTTGATGTTGTTTGTTCTCCTGTTGCCAGGAATACTCTTGAAGGAGCTTGTTTAACTTCTTTCCTGATGTTGAATTTGGCTGTTACCATCATCAAGAGCTTGGGACCTCATTGTTGCTGAGGATGGCTGTGGTACTTTCTAGAGGAGCTCTTTCTTTGAGCATCGCTTCCTGGCTCTAGTGCAAAATCCTCAGCCTACTGGCAGTGATCCTTCATCCTACAGGCACAGAATTTCTAGCTTCCACTGCTCTCCTTGGAACCTTCCCAGTGCAGATCCATGAAACAAACTTGCATGAGTCAGTGTCCTGGGCTCTAGGCCTCCAGTTGGACTCGTGAGGCACTGTCATGGGCTTTAGGTCTTCAGCAGGACTCATGCAGGATATTGCTGTGGCATCGAGGCCCCACAGCTGGATCTTCTAGGCCTTAGTGTGTGGACAGATTTCCTATACTTTCTTCACTCAGGTGACCATTATAAATAATACTATAAATTCTGTGTACTGTATTCTTGCTGTCCTTGTAAATCCCTGACTACAATAACATATGACTTGGAAATTAAGATGCTAGCTCCTCATGGTGATTGACCTTAAAGTCTTTTTTGGTGAGTAGAGCTAAAATTTTTGAGTCACTTAAATTTTTTAACCATGATTTCCTTGTATCTAAAGTTGCAGGAAAAAAAATCAAACTTCCCAGGGTTGTTGGAGATGTTTTTATAACAATTAGATATGTTTTAATGGCTGGTAGTTTTATGAACAGCACTAGACAGATTTTTCCCTTTTCAGATGTCTCTGTGCTCTGCATGATTGGCTTGTTTGGCCAGGGATTTCCCCCAAGATCCCTGATGGTGGTCATGCTTTCTTGATGGACTCCACAGATTCCTGGCACCCTCGTTGGAGCAGTACAAGGGCACTATCTCTTCCAAGGACGGACTCCTCACTCTGATTGCCTTTCAGCACTTTGGGTGAGGGGTTACTTTGTGATTCCAGGGCAGAATGATGAGGTGTATCAGTCCTAGCACAAGTCACTTATTTTATGTTTTTAAAAGATACGAAGTCAGGCCTAGAAAATCTGAAAGTTGAGAAATTGTTGTTGGCTTTAAGGTAAGTCACAGGCAAAGGTATTTTTAAAATTGGTATGTAAATCAGGTAGGAGGAATGATTCAGATTAAGATAAAACCAGACACTTGTCGGGGCAGTTATCTGAGTGAGCTTGTGGTTGACAAGCTGATATTCTGGTTGGAGTACAGACAAAGATGAATGATCATGGATGTTTTTGGAATGAGGAAGCCTATGACTTAGACCTAATATGATACTGCCCAGGTTTCAGGGTCAGTGGATGCTTTCAGGAGAGTGTTTTGACTCATTGCTGATCCTCAGTGAGGATCATTTGTTAATAGCTTTAGAAAGTATACAAGGTTGTTTTCAGATTCCCAAGACCAGGTATGTAAGTATGCAAGTCTGAAGGAAATGAGCATTATTTTTCTGGGTACTGGGGATTGACTCAGTGTTGTTGTGCTGAACTACCTCCCCAGCATTTTTATTTTGAGACAGGGGTTCACTCAGTCATCCAGGTTGGAGTTGAATTTGTAGTCTTCCTGTCTCAGCCTCCCAGAGTGCTGGGATTACAGGCATGAACCACCACATCCAGTTTGAATCATCACATTCATGTGGAGGTAAACCTGACTGCCCCAAACTAGAGATATGGATAGGACCTCAAAGGATTATCTGGCGATTCATAAATCCCCACAGGGCAACCAAATGTGTGACTCATCTTCAGAAACAACAAATGTAAACAACAGAGTATCCTAATTGTTTCTAAAGAATCATCAAGACAATGGCAGTTGCTATTAAATCATACTGGTGTACTGGCCTGTATGTAGTC